TTCTTCGAGAGGACACGATGCGCCTATTAACGGAACAAAAAGTTCTTCCTAGGGAAGAATGGTTTAAGCGAGTCTCATTTGATTCCCGAGAGAAAAGAGTTGCTTTTTGCTGGCCAATGAGCTGTGTAACGCGTGTAACGAACCGGAACGGGAACAAATAACCGTATTGCCGTCATTATTTTTCGACGTAATTCGGCGCTCCATTTGTACGATTAGACTCTTCGACGAGCCATACGTACCGTTGAGAAGATTTATTTCTGCTAGAGAAAGCACAATGAATAACTGAACACGTACGGCATAAATTTTGTCAGAGTTTATATATAATAACTTTAGTGTATTTATTGACTATATCTGGCATTTTTAATAAGACAGAAAATTTATTGCGAAAAATAGTACCTCAGCCAATATTACCTCACCCGCACGAAGCAGGAGACGCCCGCCTAGAGAGTAGGGAAGTCCAGATTCAAACTCTGGCTGAGGTAATATTTGTCGCATAATTTTTCTGTATTATTAAAAATGCCAGATATGGTCAATAAAAACGCTGAAGTTCTTAATTACTGCTGGCGACATGAAGACTATTCTTGTTAGTTTGAATATAATATTGGCTATGTTGTAAGAATAAGGTTTGAAAGTCCTTTTGTCTTCGTTCTTTTAGGATCCGTTTGTCAATTTTAATATGCCTTCCGACATTTTTCTATTCCGCATCCGTCTCGTTGAGCAAATCGTAAAGGCGTTGAGCAGGTAGGGTTTCGACGACATGATCTTAATAATAACGGCTATCTCTTCGCCGTAATTACCAGAAGTCTATCGCGACGACGCAAGCTCCATCGAGCGTGTAGCGATGCACCGGCACCGCCTCGTTCTCTCCGTACTCGGTATATCTCTTGGCGTTGCTCGCATGCGAATCACGCGAATCGCAGTCTCCTCTCTCGCGCGACGCGACGTTGCGTAGGTTTACTGCACACGCACGTGGACACGTGCGTCGTGCCACGCCGGCCGGCCGGTTGACCGGTCGGCGGAAAGACGGAACAGGGGTTATTTCTGTCGTCATCAGTCACTCGTAGCAGGTTTAAGTCGCTCCACGGCAGTACGAGAGAAGCAGAGGAAGAGAGGAGCACGAAGCAGGAGAGGAGACTCCGATTTCGTGCGCAGACATGACACAATGCCGTAGTCTCTGCTCCTTTTCTGGAATCGCCGTGCACGTGATCCTCCCCCTTGCCATGTTGCGACTATTATAAGAAGAGAGTATGTACATGTGAGAAAGTGGAGTATATAGTTAGATACGAGGGAGGAGAAAGCGCGATGCACTAAGCGCAGAGTGCTCGCCTAAGCACGGAAGCCGGTAACAAGACACATCTTTTCAGCTTGAATATATTTTTATAGTAAACATACTTAAGTGGATGCTAATTATAGATGGCTAATTATAGAATTCGGATGGATTGATTTCGACGTGGTAAATTATTTAGAAAAATGGAAATGCAACGGACTGATAATGCTGTTCCGAACATATAGTAGTATTTACCACTTTCTAATATTTTTATATGCGCTGTAGTACTTTTCAGCTTTTTATTCTAATATTTTTACATCCTTTCGCACATTTGCAATTATCTCTACGTCATTGCAAATAATGGTTGCGTTTCGCTTGAGCTGAATAATCTGATCGTGGGACGCGCGTGTCTTGAAACATTGGTGGACAGGCCAATTCATGAACGGAAGGATACATCGCTCACGACAAATGACTGTGTAGTAAATGTTCTCGAACCAAGCCTCTGCCAATTTCCTGATCACTCACGTCTCCTATCCCGTGTCAACGCGAACCACGCCCGCGTTCAATGTTTCACGCGTTTGCTATGCGTCGGAAATGCATCGAGCGTTTCCAGCGCGTCGAACGCGCCTCTTTGGAATTCCCAGAGCGATCGTTACGGTAGTAGCTGCAAGGTGCATCGGGGGTGCAATCGGTGAGGCGGGGAGAGGCGATCGTGATTCACGATAATAGATGGATGCTCCAAGGACGGGACAGATGGTGCGTTACCTTGAACTCGATCGGTTGGATTTAAATCGTTCGTCGAATTTCCATAAGAATGTGAAATTGTTGCGAGTACGAGAGCTTTCTCTAATATAAAATTATTATGTTTGAGTATGAAGGTGATGATTTTAATTGATGTTTATTCAATAGTGTGCAGATAATTTCTTCCTTTTTTGGCACATTATTTGGCACAATATTTGTATCATAAAATGTTGATTCGTTTATTTAACAATGAAAGGAATGTTCGCACGCTATTAGATAATAACAGAAGGTAACATTGTTGTCGCTTTCCTATTCAAACGATACTCTAGTCGTAAAAGGAACAGGAGCGGTTTGGTAGACTATAGCTTGACACGCGCACAATGGCCACTGTGAAACTTGGCGCCTTATTTTCAAAAATTGCAAGTTTTATTAACTGTTAATAAAACCTTCGGTTTTGGAAAACGAGGTGCCAACATCACTTAGTAACCGCACAATGCGCGTCCGCTCGTTCTCCGACGAACGCCCAGTTGCTTTCTTTCTACGCGCGCATAATGCGCGCAGTTTGGTGCAAGCAGCACGTCCGGGAGATTTCTGCCACGTTGTTCTTGAAATAGGGAGCTACGTGAGCGCGCATGGGGGCTTAGTGGGACTTGTACAGATTCGTCACCGGACCCAGAACAGCGAGCGAAGGCTTCGCCTTTTACGTGGCGGGCATTTGTTTTATTAGGGATTTTCTGGTGAGATGAATGCTTCGCGTGGGATGCTTTCGCGTAACATTTGCGTACGTCGCTTTTGTGTACAAAGAGTACCGATTAATTTCAAAAGTAATCTCAAGCAAAGTTTTAAAAAAATTATGTTTAAATTAATAATTTAACTACAAATTCAAATCTCTCAGCAAATGAGCTTTTTTTTTTTAAGTTTCTTGCTTTACAAGTAGTAGTACATAAATATATCAAAGACGGGTCTGTCTTTCTCACGCATTAATACTACAAAACGTGTATTCAGAAAAAGAACCGAATTAATCGGGGAAAATGGCAAGAGGCTCGTTAGCGGCGTGAAATATTGCAGCGCGATTAGTATAATCTGATTAGCACGTTTTGCGTAGCGTCGTTAACTATCTTTCTCCCGCTATATCGACAGTGAGCTCTAGCAGGGCTGTTATTAAATATTGTTTAAATGAGCGATACCGAAGGATCGTTATTTCTCGCCATGCGCTCACGTGGCGGCGTGTAATCCGCATGAAGCGAACATTAATCAAGTGTGATGGATCATGAATCGTACACCCGCAACATAACACTGACTAATAACAGCGACTTTTGGCAGGGTACAGCGCATAATTTTTAACATACATTTCAAATCTCCGACGAAAATCTAGATCCCACTCGTATTACTAAAGAATCCTTGATATTCATTTTATTGAAAAGTTCAAAATGATGATGTCAGACAGGAGATGACATGCATTAGCATCGACGTTTCCTGCGTAAGTAATAACGAGCTTAGGATTAGAGACAATTTACGCATGTCGTCAATCCGAAGGCGAGTAAAACGTACGACGAGTTATTAAAGTTCTGTCAACCGCTAATCAATTCTCGAGTCGTGTCGGAAAAAAGAACCCCAACCGATTGCTTCTTCCGTTGCAATTTCCACGATGCGAACGATGATCAATTCATTATCACTGGTGCGGCGCGGCGCAAAGTGTCTTTTATCTCTCAGCGCGCTATTCTCTCTCTTTCTCTCTCTCTCTCTCTCTGTCTTTCTCCTGGGGATAGCTCGTCACGTTTCTTCACGTGTCGTACGATGTACACGCGGGTAACCCGTTCAGGTGTTACCCGGGAAACCGGCGCAACGACGAACCTGTTCGCTGCATCTTCGCGCTGCATCTCCACGCTGCTCCGCAACTGGTTTCGCGTTGCGTTCTGTCAAAACCTGTTGATGGATGCATTGCCTAGCAGAAAATGACGGGATCGGGGCACGTCGCCTCGATTACACGTTTCCTTTTGCTTTTATTCCTTTTTTCTTTTTTGTCTCCACTCACGCGGTTTTCCCAGCCGGAGATGTTGAGCCGACCTACGTCTCCCGTACACGAAAAACAGCGACTTTTTCTGGTGTATTGTAATTACAACTGACATTCGTCCGAATGTAATTACACGCGCGCGTTGTAGTACCTACGTAGTAATTGACGTCTCTGATCGAACGGAGCTTGCATACATCCCGAACACCGCGGCGGATAAATGTATAATAAGAAGCGTTTCTTATATAAAATTAATTAACCATTAAATATAAAGACACATGTAAAATATTGTAACCTATTAAGGAAGTATTTTTAATTAGGACAATATTGGATAATTAGGATAATCTTGCAATGCTTTATTTAATTAGCATTGTGGAAAGTTTGCTAATTATTATAGATTTTTTCTACTTTATCCAATAATAAAAAATCTGAGAAAGAAGACTTGCAATGTAAAATTAGCTTTTCGTTCGCGTATTTTCCGCATCAAACGAATTTACGAGACGCTAATGTACACCTCCGACCTCACAAGCAGACGCTTGTGGAATAAACATAGCTAGGCACTGAGACTCACGATGATTTATCGACGCTATGTATCAATGTATGATTCATCAATGAAAGCACCAGTAGTCTCATAAAACAAAACTAAAAAGGGATTAACGGCTAGAACAAAGTTTTAACGACGCGCGGACTCTATTTCGGAATCTTGACAGTAGTTTAGATGATGACAGACTCAACAGAACCTTTAGAAAGTCCACGTTGCCTCAGTTTTATATCGGCAATAAATTATAATGACGTTTATAACATTGTTAAAAGTCTCGTAATTTGTCTGTGTAAAACTTACATGTACAGACTGATAGGGTAAAATAAAAAATATTACGATATTTAGATATAGAAAGATTTAATAGTTGTATCTCTTATTATGTGCTGTATAATTTTTCTTTTGTATTTTAACCTGACGGGAATTCTCCGTTTTGATTTCAGCTCACAATCAGAGAGGTCCGTACAGCCTGAGTAAGAGCTTGAAAAATAGCGGCCTCTTTCCGTCCACGTTCAATGTCGCCGCGAAAGCAGACATTTATGTAAACGCGACGTGCGGTGAGGAGGGCCCAGAGACTTTTTGCAAGCCCTCAGAATCGTCGAGATGCGCCGTCTGCGACTCCAGGAGTCCGGATCCCGGCAAGAGGCATAACATCAGCAATATCCTCGACTCGAGTCCCGGTAAATGGTGGCAGAGCCCCACGTTAGCCAGAGGCGACCACTACGACTATGTGACGATCCTCCTGGACCTCAAGCAGGTAGGCTTAAGCGATGAACATAGTCCGGAAAATATTTTATCCATTTTTTCACCGAGATTTGCACGTGACAACGCTAAACATAAACTTGCGATTTGAATGACTTTAAAGGGATGAGTGAAACAACCTTTTAAGCGAGCGCTTCGCGATGCTTTATATTCACATCTGATCTTTCTTTCACTTCGTTTTCTGGATGCATCTCTTTTTTTTCCATGACGCATTATATCGCATTAAAGGCCCTTTTGTCCTCGTCCTTCGAAAAATCGTAAAACGACTTTTGTCCTCTCGTTAGATGCTCGTTTCTTGTATTATGCTCTTTGATGTCGATTTATATCGTTTGCCGACAATGGTGAAATGGACAGAGAAAGAGAAAGATACAAGAAACGAGAGAGTCGAAGCCGATTTGTGCAAAGTAAGACGGAGAAAGACGTGTATGGGCAAGATGAAGAAGATAGAGAAGCTGTAGAGGATCCCTTTCCGGAAATTTACGTGCCGGCTCGCAGGTATGCGCCATGTAGCTCTTCGGCCTTTAACAAATTGTGAGTGGCGGCTAAGAAAAACGTTTTAACGAGCACGACAGCCCTTTTTTTTGAGAGACCGTTAGTAATGAGGACGCTCGAAAGTACCGCGAAATGGATCCTCAGAATCAAGTGCCGACGCGATAGACAAGAGTGAACTAAATTTTTATGAGAAGAAATTCCTATATATAGAAACTCGTCAAAGTGCATTAAAATACATCGTCGTTAATTAAATGCCCCGAAAGAATTATATTTGCAACCGTGATTTTTCAATTAGAAAATTAAACATCTTTGAATATTATGAAAGTTTTTAAGAGTGCAAAAGTAAATATTAAATAACATAAATGGCATTCACTTATTACCGACATATTAAAAAAAATGAGAAACGTAAAAGAAAATTAATTTTGCACGAAGTACTATTTAATTAATAAAAAGTTAGCCATTGTTGGAATTTTTCAAATTTCGTATTATAATTTTATGACGAAATTATGATATATACAGAATAGATAAAATAGTGCATAAATATCTAGACCGTTTGGAACGTGTGTCTTTAAAAGAAATCTTATACCGAGAGTAATAAAATATCGCAGATGTTCTGTTGGCGGACACGTGAGCGCGGTTCGCTAATTGATCCTCCCACGGGATACGACAGCCGCGGGCTGTCCCTGAGCAAAATTGATACGTTAATACGCCCGTACAACTGGTACCATATAATAATGAACACGTTAAGATAGGCGAAATCTTGCTGTATAATTAAGCGACGCGAAGTTGGTGGGCCGCAACCTTGGCCCTTAATTGGACGCTGATTGCGAGCCTAATTCTTTCTACCCGTTCGGGATATCTTTCGCGTGTGATGGCGTCGTGGGTGTATCGTTTACAAGGGCCGATTCTCTTATAATAGTCCATAATTCAAAGATTTGATTGAACGACGGATAATACGTGCAATCGAGTTCTTATCTCCTGAAAAATAAACACCTTTGACGAGAAAAAAACGGCAAAATCTTTTTTTAATAATATGTTTGTATTATGAATATCTTCTAATTTGTTTGCTAGGAGAATTTACATTACATGTAATGTTCGTTATATCAGTACTTAATTAATTAATTAGTGGAATATGTGCAATAAGAAAAGTACAGCTTTAATATTAATCAAATTGAATTTTTATTTTATTTTAATTAGCTGTCACATGATCGATTATATAATCTCGTAATACACAATAAGAAAGTCAGTATTCTGAAATGAAGCATAATTAAGATTATTCTGGAAGAATAATCTTAACAATGCGCATTGCTTCTTGGCAGCATGAGATTTAGGATCTGCAGCCCGAGGTGTTTCTCTCCGGGTAATAATCCTGTAGTACCTTTGCGTTGTGTTTTTTTGTGAAGAGAAGATTGCTTGCGATTCATTGCGACATTTTTAAATTACGGTCCGTGAATATCGGGAATGATTATGTTAATCGGCGAATAAGCAGGACGCGAGGGAATATATTTATGGTCCTCGTTAACGTTCATTGCGCTTATTAATTTTATGACCGTCCGGCGCTGCTCATGATTGTTTCTTTAATCGCGCGAACCGATGTTAGATCGATACGATACACCGGTTTTTGTTGTTATTACCTTTGTAGCTATGCAAGCCACCTAAGTCGAAAGAAAGATATCCTTTTCAGCACAAAATTGTAACAACCTGAAAATGACGGTTAATCTTCACTTTACGATCTCTACTTTTGTGCTTAGTATCTCTTTAGAATTATAATAATACGAGTAATTTTATTAAGAAACTTTTTTAAATTTTAATGAGGATTTTGGGGCTAATTCTGTTAGCACTAATTTAAATATTATATCAATAATATTAATCAGTACTTGTTAGGCTGAAATCTTTTGAAAAAGAAGACGATGGTGTTAATCATCTGTTTTTGTGTATTACTATTGCAATAACTTAAAAGGGAAGTTTTTTCGCAAAGTGTAAACTTGTAGAAAAGTTGAAATTCACATCCTGATATGCTAAGAAAAAAGTTTTCACGCATTGATTGCCGTTAACTCGTCTCACGTGTAACTTCTGTTTGCGCTACTGATTGGCACAACCGAGCGTCAGGATTAGCCCCGCCTCCCACGCGAAGGCGTACACGGTGGAATAAATTAATTTGTCTGTGCCTAAAAAGGCCGCCTGATGGACAACCTTTATCTCGCTGTACACGGTGAGAGGGCCGAGAGCGCGTTGCGCAATAATTAGTAGACGGCTACAAATGATCATCAAACATTGAGAAGGGAGCGATCGCCGCCGCGACTCGTGTGCGTCTTTTTTGCCGACATGTGTTGCCTTTCCTCGCGGCGCAAGAGGAGGAGCTGGGATGGTGACTGACCGTGGTCGTATGAAATTCATTAGTATACCTAATGGAATCTTGAAAATGCATTTAATATATTTTGCATGCGAAAACAGAAAATCCATTATGCGGGAAGGTACGATAGTTAATGAAGTATCTTCCATAACGGCCTGAGCGCGATTAATAATTCTTAAAAATTTAATAAGAGTTACAATCCCCGCCGTTGTAGAAAATTTATTAGTGTTCTCGAAGGAGAAAATATATTTCATATATTTGGCAATGTTCATGTATACGTTAATTGGTATATTATCGCGTTCATGTGTATATTGCAATGTACGATAATATAGGATAATAGATGAATTATACGGACGTTAGTGATCGCTGAAATGTTTCCAGTAACAATTGAGCAAATTATAAAAATTGATAGAAAGCTCGGGAATTGTGGTCCGATGATAGAACATTTCTCAATATTCACTGCAATGTTAAATAATTTGCATCAATTTGAACCGACGTAACATTTTAACAATACATCTCGAAAGTTACGTCACAGAATCAGCGTGAATTTATGATATCGCATGCTATACCACTCGCGTGGATCACCAAAAGGAGAAGTTATCCTGTCGAAGGATCACGGAAGGATCAGACCGCGCGTCAAACCGCCTCCCTCGTATGGCGTCGGGACGAAACGAACAAGTTATCGCCCGTCGTAGATCGACGCCACCTCTAACCCTGCGATGAGGTATCGAACGTGAAAAGGGGCAGCGAATGGTACTCGTGTCGAACGACTGAAGCTTCGAATCCTTCATTGTTCACGGATTAACGAGTGGAGTCGCCGTCGTTCCTCGAACGCTTGTTCGAGGTCCTCGAACCTGCGCGCGCGCTGTCTTCTCCTTTGGCCGGGTGAATGAATCATCTTCCTGGGGCGGACGGGACTGGAACGAGGGGAAGAGAGGGAAGGAAGAAAGTGAGAGACGGACGAAGTCACGAAAATAATACCTCGTAGGGTGGAAGATCGCTCTTCTCGTCCGAAGGCGGGCTTGTTCCTTTTTCCTATTCATGGCCCGGACCTTGCGGGATTGCGGATGATGTATACATAGCTACACAACCGTGCCTTTTTACCCGGATTTTATGACCGTGCGCGCAACATTGTGCGTTATTGGATCGTTATGGATCGAGACGCTTTTAAATTAAGCAACGTGGTATCCCGCATGATGTACCGTGCCAATTTCTTCGCATCCATAAAAACGTGAAGAGCGATGGAACCGTAAACTTTTTTCTCTTAAAAATTTGCGCCACATTTGGTTAATATCGAATAATTTTCTAAATCCAAATTCTCTTTCTGATGAAATTGTCTATCTCTTCTGATAGAGCCTGCAATAGAATCACTGAGAGAAACGGAGGATAAAGAGATTAGTGTGTCTTTATATAGATATCTATAATGAGAATATACAAATCATCGTGAATCATGATAGTCTCGATCGAAATCGTCGAGTATATGCTGGAGATGGTGGTCGTCGAACGGTTTCGTGCCTTTTGTCGGAACAGCTACCGTTGTGGCACGTCACGAATTTACCTCGTAATTCAATTCCCACGGCCAGTGGCGATAATTACAGGCCGCGGCGCGCGGCTCTTACGCACAACGGATCCACGGCCAGCCATCTTTTTGCCTTCTGCTCGCACAGCAGACCGTTGATCGTCCGCGTTACAGGGTGAAGCGATTAAAACCAGGCCCCTCCGCGATGCCAGCCTCGGAACGATAATCGTATCATCGATCCACGGTCGTCAATTAAAAGAAATAAATCAAAGCGCGCCATATAAACCGATAACAGATCGTAATCGAAATGGGTGATTGTATGACGCCATTTAGATAGTATCATATACTAAGAAACGACCCTCTCTCTCTCTCTCTCTCTGGCTTTTTCACTCAAACGTAATATTTTTTAAGTAACTTTTCAATAATTAATTTATTATCATTTTCTGCTAATTAGAATTGAAAATTTAATTTGAGATTTGAATAAAATTGAAAATCTTCCCAATTCTTTTTCTGGCGTCTTCTACAACTTCTTTTTTTTCAATTTAGAATTGATTTATCTGTATTGTCCTCTCAGCAATGCTCGATTCGGTAACGTATAAATATACGCACACACGCGATCGATTAATATGCC